TGTATAAGTTTCATAACATTTGGTTGAGGCAAACTGAAGTTAGAGAACGGAAACCAATTTCGGGACGTACGGACGGACAAGGGTAAAACTTAATGCCCCCACCGCTACGGCGGGGGCATAAAAAAATATACTGTTCTAAAAAAGTATGATAGCAAAACTATAACCAAAATCAGACTATCCACAAAATCAAATAAAAGATTTGGATAACAGTAAACAGTAAGAATATTACAAATAGAAAGCACTATATTTGAAACACTCATACACAATTATACACATTTATAAGTTAACATCCTGTCATAACTCCTCTTTCTCCATTCCATCTTTTGTATTGTTATCATCTGATGTATCTACAAAAATATAGAAAACAAAGTTTAATTTACTTAAACTTATTCAATGGTACAAAAGAAAATTGAATTGCTCATCTAACAAATTGTGTATTATGTACTGATTTACACTATCTATCTTTTGGGATAAATAGACCCATCATTGATGAAGGTCGTACAGTAAGCTACAGATGCTTTTATCTTCATCATTTGGACTCTGTTGGAGAGTTGTCTCATTTTCAATCATACCATATCTTCTTATTTTAATATTTACAGTAAAAAGATTATAATCATACTGATGTTGTACAATCACTGCTACCAGAAGTCCATTACTAGCAATGTACTTCTGCTGCTACTGATATCTTTTTTTATATACAATTAGTTTATTTTAAAGAAAGCCTAAAACATTTTTTTGTTATATGCATTGAAATTCCGTACAATATTTTTCTAAGAATCATGCAAGACCTATTCTCCTGTACTGTTTATTACAATACAGTCAAACATGTCTAAATAAAGCCACTGTTATAAGATCTTATAAGGATGCACAACATTATTTCATATCAGCAGGCAAAGTACTTTCAGCTTGCTTTCAGCAAGTTTGCACATTCTTTGATAAAACAGTTTTACCTTAGTTTGTTAGTACTTGTGTTTCTGTGATCAATTATATACCCTTATATCAGAGCTAATTGTTTTTCCTTGTTCTTTAATTTACCTTTTGTTTTAATCATCTGATGGAGATTAAAAAGGGGGAGAGTTCAGATCTAAAAAATCTAACTGAGCTGAATTGATCACCACCTGTTCTTGTGGCTTCCTTCAGTGGTTGTCTTATGTTATATTTTAATTATGTTTTTTTTTATTAATTTTAAAAGAATATGGTTATGATGGCAGATCTTTAATACTTTCTGATTTGTTATTCACAACTTTTTCTTAAACTCAGGCCATGTGATTTAGAGCCTATCATATTATTGTAAACTCAGGCCAAGTGATTTAGAGCCTATCATATTATTGTAAACTCAGGCCAAGTGATTTAGAGCCTATCATATTATTGTAAACTCAGGCCAAGTGATTTAGAGCCTATCATATTATTGTTAACTCAGGCCAAGTGATTTAGAGCCTATCATATTATTGTAAACTCAGGCCAAGTGATTTAGAGCCTATCATATTATTGTAAAGACACCTTTTTATTGTTCAATACTGAATGTTGACCTCTAGCTGTGGTTTTGTTATTTGTGTATTTGTGGATTGCTGTCACATTGATGTTTACCAGGAAATGTGAGGCATCATGCACAACAACAGGGTTGGGTTGGGCTACATGTTCTACAGCAACCCAACCTATTGTTGTGTTTGATGCATAAATATATATGCAGTAAGGTAATATTTAAGGTCGATAACTTCCACTATTGGAGGAACGATGGAACATTTCATGATGGTGGACTTGTTAAGTATGTTAGATCAGACATAGCACATGACAGAAAAAACAAATTTGAATTTAACCTTACTGCATGAATTATGGTAGAAATGTAAAACAATATGGAAAATGTTTAATTGCAGGACTTTAAAGACCTCCTTCTATTATAATGATAATTTTTAGAATGATTTTATAACATGTTAAAGTACATGTGATGAATTATCAAACATCTTATATGATAATTTTCTTTTACTCAGTGACTTATCTCAAAACATGTTTACTCAGCAAAAAATGTTTCCCCTAAATGATATCTGATATTTTTGATTTCATAAATTGGAAAATAAACAAAACATGCCCCTGCTACATTAAATGATGTTATTCTTAAAACAAGGCATACTATTATCAAAACATTTTAAACATCAATTACAGATTGAGTGATGGACATAACATTATTTACACTAAATTTAAGGGCAAGCTACCCAATATAAACAAAGGTTTAAATTACAGAAGTTTCTAACATTAGGAAATTTTTTTGACAGATTTACATGGATATAAATTAACTGCTATCAAGTTTGATATTTTGCGAGTATTTATATCATTTGTTACATTTTTCTGCTCACAAAAATATATCGGTTACAGAAATTATTTGGTTTACAGTATGGTCTAATAAAATAAACGAAGAACGGACGAGTCTGACGTTACTTAATGAACCATGAATATGAAATCAAAGTTAGTTGAACATTGTCTGACAGACATGGTAATATGTAGATCCTGTATCTTTTGTCATTTAGAGGATATGTCTTTGTTGGCAGATCTTTTAGAATAGAATTAAGGTTATGTGTGACATATTGTAAATACTAGTCTATTGTTTAATCAAATAAGATGTACTGCTTTCACTTGTTAGCAACAGTGTGATTGAATTCTCTATATATCTATCTTAAGCCCAGACTCACAGATGTACTTATTTATGGCTGTTACAGTTTACCTCCCATATAAATCAACATGTATTGTATCCTATGTTAAAGCCAAGGAAGATTATTAATTGTAACTAACTGTGTTTACCCTCTTTAAATAAAGAATTTATTATTATTATTATTATTATTATTATTATTATTATTATATATAAAGCTATGATGATTTCGCTGCGTTAAAATTGAAATTGAAAAAAAACACAGATTTGTTATTCCTATTATACTGTATAACAAAAAGGATTTTAATGCATTAGAGCTTGGGAAAATAAATCAAATCAAAATCAAATAAAATTCCACGAGATGTACACCTCTGAGGAGCCAAAAATTTCTAGAATTAAAACTTTTTTTCATAACCTGATTTTTGGGTTCATATGACTGTAAGAAAGTAATTGATGAAGAAAAAATCATACGGTGGTGCACTTCTTTTTTTGCTACGGCCATTCGAAGTACCCATTTAAAAAAATTTTGTTTACCTATTTTTGTGATATTATCTTGAAAAAAATCACAATTTCACAATCAAACTTTTTTACATGCTTTCACTAAAGATGAAGTGGACCAATTTGAATAAATTTGACTTAAAAAAACTATAGGTTGGTGTTAATATAAGAAAGTTTTATAAAATTTTGTTGCTTTTTGTGTCTAATTGACCATGCTGTCAATTTTGTCAATTTGTGATTTTCAGGGGCAGATTCAGGCGAGGGCGTGCCGCCCCCCCCCCCCCCATAAATTTTCAAAGCATGGGTTGTCCTCAGCTTAATAAAGAATATTTCGATAAATTTACCTCACAAAAATTTAAGTTTGCACACCCCTTAACCTAAAATCCTAGATCCCCCGCTGATTTTTCTCTTTTTTAGAACAAAATGCATATCATTTCAACTTCTTTTGTTATAAATGATTGAAAAAAACATATCTAGAATTTTGAAAAGAAAAAATTGATATGGGATGAACATGTTTTGGTAAAATCATTTCTTTGTACTCCTCACCCATTTTTTCAACATTTTGGCTGATGACACTGACCGGATTGGTTACAAAAATTTGAAAATTTTATTACTCAAAAACTACTTATAGTAAGTACACAATTTTTTCACAGAGTTTAGTTTGATTATAACATTTTTTAAATTCATTAATATTTTCCACTTGTATCACATGTTTTGGATTTAATTCCTGAAAGAGATTTCAATGAGACTGAAACATCAGAAGAATACATCCTAAAACTAGTTTTTTAGAGAACCAAAATTGTTGACCTATTACTTGATGTAACTCAACTGACCAACAACATATAAAGGGATCAGTGAAGTTACAAAATCAGATCAGTTAATGTTGTAAGATGAACATTTTCACCTTGCAATGATTCTATAGACTGATAGTTGACCTTTTACTTATAGTAACTGAACAACTGACATATGTGTATCCACACTAAGTCAATGTTGACCAATGCACCATGAAATTCAAGATCACAAAACCCCTATCAGACAGACATGCAGACCTAATAGCCATTCTACAGTGTTCTACAGACCAATGTAGATGGCCTTTAACATGTGTTTTTGCAGTCACTAAGAAACTGACCTAATACTAATAAGTTCACTATTTTATTTCTTCCCATTTTACTTCCATTTGAAGACCTCAGTTGACCTAATATTTAAAAGAATGAGAAACGTACCTAAGCCCAGAATTTCAATGACATTCAACATACCAAGGTACTAGTATACATAATAGAAACTGCAATTCCTGACTAGAACCATCTATAAATCATATATGGATTGTCTACATATTCCAAATTCTAAAATATTCAAGCTGCACAAAAAATACTTCTATGGATGCCCCTGACTGGTTTGCCTACGCATGTGGTCTTTACAAAATTTAGAGTAGGAGTAAGTCAAAGATACAAAATTCATACTACTATGTATCATTTCTGATCTATTCTCATGTTTGCAAATATGGTAAGGTCAAATTTAATGCAATGGAACAACCCCCCCTCCACACCCCCCCCCCCCCCCCCAAAAAAAAATCAATAGAATGAAAAACTAATGCAATGCGGTATTGAAGATAATCTGAAAGATTAAAAAAAATCCAGTTATTGATTCGGGAGAAGTGAGTGGTTCAAATTTATAATGAATGAACAGACACAATAATCACTATAAATCCTGAATATTTGCAATGTGTACGGTATGAAAAACTTTTAGAAGCCAATACCACATACAATTATTCAGATTTATTTTAACTGCATTCAATTTTGAAAAAGTTTTGATGTCAGATACTCTGCTGCAGCAATCTACTTATCTGTATAATAACAAACAGTTTAAGAATTGTAAAAAGTTTATTTGAGCAAAATCAACAATAAATAGATAATTCTATGGAAGTCCTATTAAACTTAAATCATCATGTAAACAGAAAAATAATGGCTGTGAACACAAAATCATACCCTATTGCCAATAACATCTCAAGCAGTATGGGTTAATCCCAAAAGGTTGTTAATATTAAATGCAAAACATACATGACATGTTCCTTCAAAATAAAATTAGAACAAACACCATCAAAATAAACAGTAGAAACTTTTATCAATCTTTAATAAGAGTCAGTCACCTATATAGCCTATGGTGGAAGAGATTTCCTTCTCATCCTTTCATCAATAGCTTGAGTTTCTATTTTTCATACTGACTAAAGTTACCTGCTGGATGAGAATATAAACACTTACATTTTCACTATGATTTTTGGACTCTTTTTAAAAACACTTGCAATTTGAACTGGTCAGTAAAAATACAAAGTGATGTTATGAAAAGATTTCACTTGTTATCATTTGTACTATGAAACCTCCATTGTCTGATATTTTATTGCTTTGCACTCTTGTTGCTTTTAATTTTTCATGCAGTTTAAGCTTAACAAATTCATATAAAACTTGCAATTAATGCTAACATTTTTACAAATACACACCACATAATTTACTATTGCACATTCAGGACAAGTTCAAATGTACAAAACATTAAAATACACAATGAAAACTTTGATAAATGAACATTTCTGTCTTTTACATTATACTGGTGATAGATGTGAACTTAAAATCATATTACATATTTTGTCAGATTGCAAGACTTAAAACAAACTACATAAATCTGTCAGTTGGTTTTCTCATTTGAATTGTTTTACATTGGTCAATTTGTGGCCTTTTATAGCTTGCAATGCTGTATGGGTTTTGCTCATTGTTAAAGGCCATACTGTGACTTATAGTTGTTAACTGCAACATCATTTGATCTCTGGTGAAGAGTTGTCTCATTGGCAATCATACCACATCTTCATATAACCTGAAATCACTTGAATATTCAAAATCAGTTATGCCTCACATATAAGTCATAGCAAGAAACAGTTAGTTCTTAGAACTCCTGGGTTTCATTTAACTCACATCTGGATTATTTTTTTACATCGAATAACCTCCATCTTGAAATTTCATTCTTGTTTTAATGTTTAAATATACAAATATGTATGTTAACAAGTCTAAATTGAAAACAATGTTCAAACCTATGATTGCGTTGGATAAAAACCGCAATTTTTATACGTGTGCAGGCAAAAAAATTTCTTGGTAGAGGGGTCTAAATACAGCACAAACAACATTTTCCAAAAGACCAAAATAGTGAAAAAGTATATTTTAACAAAATGCATTTGACTAGCAGGTCAAACAACTGATGTTCTTAAACCCTGCTGACTGCCATTGGCGATTGCCAAATAAACTGAACACCAGATACACATACAAATTTTTTTTTATTAATTTTGGTTCATTTATATGTTTCGGAGTTTAGTGTGACGTCCATTTTTGCTGAACTAGTATAAATTTTTGTTTAGGGCCAGCTGAAGTCCCCCATTGGGTGCATGCATTTCTCGCTGTGTTGAAGACCCTTTGGTGGCCTTGGGCTGTTTTCTGCCCTTTGGTCGGGTTGTTGTCTTTTTGACACATTCCCCATTTCCATTCTCAATTTTATATATACTTTAATTTTAATTGTTATCCTTTATATCATTCACTCATATTTTCTCTCACTACTATTTCTCCTAAAAATGAATGCTGTTAAAACCTCTGAAGAGTATTTACCATTTTGAAGATGCACAAACATAAAATAAAAGGTACTTTGTGGTTTTATCTGTAAGTTTATGTACTGGAGGAGAGTTTAATTTCCATTCCTACATTAACCTTCTATTAGTTTCAATATTAGTAAAATGTCTACTTAGTCAAACCAAAAGTTCATTTAAATGATAATGGACATATTTAAGATGCTATTTCTCCATATACCTTCAAAACATTTACAATTATAATCCAAAATAGATTCAGGTTCAATTCAAAGTGTCCCTATGATGGTTACTTAAGAAAAGAGTACTGTTGAGTTACAAAGTTGCAAAATATCAATGGTTTTAATTATAGTAAAAAAATCACAACAGTTTTATTCCTACAGCAAGACCTTCATATTGCAAACCAGTATACATAAATGCCAAGAAAAACTGTTAGAATACTAATAATGACAACATTTCCTCTGACTAGTAATCCACACAATGCATAAAGTCCAAGAATTGCAAAATGAACAAGTAAACTTGGCTGGGAGTATTTGTTCCTTTTCTTTGAAGATTTTTTATCTTTGCTCGAAGGTTTCTTTTTATATGGTTTAGATTCCTTCTTTTTGGGAATATCTGAAACAAAGGAAAAGAAAAAGTGTGAGATAGAAATGCAGGATGGAATCCTATTATGAATAGCAATTTCCTCCACAAAATACAGACTGGGTACACTTTATTCCAAATAATCTTGTATCTTTACTTCCCATCAGAAGGAAACCATGATAATAAAAGAAATAAAACTGACACAAATGACAGCTAATTCCCATATAAGTTTTGTTTAGTGTCTGAATTGATCAACACAGGGTTCCCATCAGGATATTTTCAGGGTGAGTCCAAGCTGATTCCAATAATCCCAATGTTCATCTTACTTGCCTTCTTCAAATGAAAATAGGGGTGAAGATATACAACATGACCTACAAATGAATTAAATTTAGACACTGGATAATAATAAAATGCTCTGCTGGGCACAGCTTGATACGACCGCAGAGGTTGAACCCTGAACAGTTGGGGCAAGTATGAACACAACATTCAAGCTTGATACAGCACTGAATTTGGATTGTGATTAAATATTTGACACAGCATAGGTTTCTGACACAGAATGAATGTGGTCTAAGAACTTAAAAAATTTTAATTTACCTATTCAAACCATATCATTATTATTTGTTTTTATATATTAATCAGAAATAACCAATTTAAAAAGGAAAATTTTAAAGAAAAAAAAAAGGAAAAAAAGGAAAAAAATTCCCCACCCCCAATTTTTTGAACCCCATTATGATTCATCACCCTCAAACTCAATTCCAGCCTGGGCGCAGCTTGATACGACCGTAGAGGTCGAACCCTGAACAGTTGGGGCAAGTATGGACACAACATTCAAGCTTGATACAGCACTATATTTGGATTGTGATTAAATATTTGACACAGCATAAGTTTCTGACACAGAATGAATGTGGTCTAAGAACTTAAAAAAATTTTCTATTTACCTATTCAAACCATATCATTATTATTTGCTTTTATATATAAATCAGAAATAACCAATTTAAAATGGAAAATTTTAAAGAAAAAAAAATCCCCCCTCAAATTTCTTGAACCCCCTTATGATTCATCACCCCCAAACTCAATCCCAGCCTTCCCTTTGTAGTATGGTACCTTGCAGTACAATTTCAGAGAGATCCGTACACTTGAACACAAGTTATTGTCTGGAAACTAGAAAAATGCTTGTTTTTTGGCCCCAAATTCCTAAACGTTTAAGGCAATTACCCCCAAACTCAAACCCAGCTTTCCCTTTGTGATATGGAACCTTGTAGTACAATTTCATAAAGATCCATACACTTACACACAAGTTATTATCCTGAAACTAGAAAAATGCTTGTTTTTTGCCCCTTTTTGGCCCCTAATTCCTCAAATTTTGAGGCAATTACCCCCAAAATCAATCCCAGCCTTCCCTTTGTGGTATGGTACCTTGCAGAACAATTTCAGAGAGATCCTTACACTTGAACACAAGTTATTGTCTGGAAACAAGAAAAAAATGCTTGTTTTTTGGCCCCAAGTTCCTAAACGTTTAGGGCAATTACCCCCAAACTCAAACCCAGATTTCCCTTTGTGATATGGAATCTTGTAGTACAATTTCATAAAGATTCATACACTTACACACAAGTTATTGTCATCAATCTAGAAAAATGCTTGTTTTTTGCCCCTTTTTTGGTCCCTAATTCCTAAAATTTTGAGGCAATAACCCCCAAAATCAATCCCAGCATTCCCTTTGTGATATGGAACCTTGTGGTACAATGTCAGAGAGATCCATACACTAACACACAAGTTATGTCTGGAAATTACAAAAATGCTTATTTTTGGCCCCTAATTCATTAAGTGTTGGTACCATAACCCCCAAAATCAATCCCAACCTTCCTTTTGTGGTATTAAACCTTATGGTAAAATTTCATAGAGATCCATTCACTTAAACTAAAGTTAGAGTGCGAAAACCAATGTGTCTTCGGACGACGACGACTACGCCAACGTCATACCAATATATAACCGCAAAATTTTGCAGTTGTATAAAAATGCTTGTTTTTTGGCCCCATATTCCTAAACGTTTAGGGCAATTACCCCCAAACTCAAACCCAGCTTTCCCTTTGTGATATGGAACCTTGTAGTACAATTTCATAAAGATCCATACACTTGAACACAAGTTATTGTCCTGAAACTAAAAAAAAATGCTTGTTTTTTGCCCCTTTTTGGCCCCAATTCCAACAATTTTGAGGCAATTACCCCCTAAATCAATCCCAGCCTTCCCTTTGTGGTATGGTACATTTCAGTACAATTTCAGAGAGATCCATACACTTGAACACAAGTTATTGTCCTGAAACTAGAAAAATGCTTGTTTTTTGCCCCTTTTTGGCCCCTAATTCCTACAATTTGAAGGCAATAACCCCCAAACTCAAACCCAGCTTTCCCTTTGTGATATGGAACCTTGTAGTACAACTTCATAAAGATCCATACACTTTCACACAAGTTATTGTCATGAAACTAGAAAAATGCTTGTTTTTTGTCCCTTTTTTGGCCCCTAATTCCTAAACTTTGGAGGCAATTACCCCCAAAATCAATCCCAGCATTCCCTTTGTGCTATGGAACCTTGTGGTACAATGTCAGAGAGATCCATACACTAACACACAAGTTATGTCTGGAAGTTACAAAAGTGCTTATTTTTGGCCCCTAATTCCTTAACTGTTGGTACCATAACCCCCAAAATCAATCCCAGCCTTTCTTTTGTGGTATTGAACCTTATGGTAGAATTTCATAAAGATCCATTCACTTAAACTAAAGTTAGAGTGCGAAAACCAATGTGTCTTCAGACGACATCGATGACGACGACGACACCAACGTCATACCAATATATAACCGCAAAATTTGTTTGCAGTCGTATAAAAATGCTTGTTTTGGCCCCAGATTCCTAAACGTTTAGGGCAATTACCCCCAAACTCAAACCCAGCTTTCCCTTTGTGATATGGAACCTTGTAGTACAAATTCATAAAGATCCATACACTTGAACACAAGTTATTGTCCTGAAACTAAAAAAATGCTTGTTTTTTGCCCCTTTTTGGCCCCTAATTCCTACAATTTTGAGGCAATTACCCCCAAAATCAATCCCAGCCTTCCCTTTGTGGTATGGTACCTTGCAGTACAATTTCAGAGAGATCCATACACTTGAACACAAGTTATTGTCCTGAAACTAGAAAAATGCTTGTTTTTTGCCCCTTTTTGGCCCCTTATTCCTACAATTTTGAGGCAATAACCCCCAAACTCAAACCCAGCTTTCCCTTTGTGATATGGAACCTTGTAGTACAATTTCATAAAGATCCATACACTTACACACAAGTTATTGTCATGAAACTAGAAAAATGCTTGTTTTTTGTCCCTTTTTTGGCCCCTAATTCCTAAAATTTTGAGGCAATTACCCCTAAAATCAATCCCAGCATTCCCTTTGTGATATGGAACCTTGTGGTACAATGTCAGAGAGATCCATACACTAACACACAAGTTATGTCTGGAAGTTACAATATGCTTATTTTTAGCCCCTTTTTGGCCCATATTTCCTTAACTGTTGGTACCATAACCTCCAAAATCAATGCCAACCTTTCTTTTGTGGTATTAAACCTTATGGTAAAATTTCATAGAGATCCATTCACTTAAACTAAAGTTAAAGTGCGAAAACCAATGTGTCTTCGGACGACGACGCCGCTGACGACAACGACGATGCCAACGTCATACCAATATACGACAGCAAAAAAATATAAAAATATGGAGAGGTGATATTATTGGCAATGAGACAAACATCTACTAGAGACCAAAGGATAAAAATCAGTTAACTCATCAGAACCAGAACAGCACTAAGCACTTAAAAAAAAAATAACCAAAAAAGATAAAAATACAATTTACCAATCTAAGACATACTATAAGCTAGTTCAAAGCCAATTCCAAGTAAGAAATAATCCAAGTTTTTCAAGAATTAAATTTCAGTCTGATTAAAGCAAGGCCTTGTGCAAAGCGAAAATATATGTAATGATAGGATGTAGGACCAAGTGTTAATAAATGTATATCCATACATTTTTAGTTATATGTTGATTAATTTAAAACAAAATGAATGTATGTACCGATAAAGGCAATATTTAAAGATGTTGCTAAATTGTTAAATTTTTAACGTTTCAGAATAAGCTTTTCAAAGGATCATTGATTGGTTTGCAATTATTTGATATTAAATGAATTGGCTTCCTTAACAACTTTATTGCCTGTGAATAGGTAAAAAATGTGCTTGCTCAGTAAACAAATTTAAATTTTCTCTGTTTTTTCCCCCGTTGCATCAACCGTGATAGCTCTTGATCCTGGCCCAATCTGTACTTGAGTCAGTAGGACTAGGCATGTAAAATAACCTTTTAGTGCTAAATTCGATGTTACTCCTCAGGCATTTGTAAATACTTAAACAATTAACAGATCTCAAAAATTTGAGTTAGATTTTAAATTTAATGTAAGTATTTTTCTAATGAAGAGTGATTATAGAATAGCTTATTTCAGAATTTGAATGTTTTACAACAATGATGCATGTGCATGATGCATGGGTCAAGTATTAATTATCAGTGTTGATAGGTTCCAAGTTGATTTTTTTTAGAACTTTTGAATTCTTGATTCAGTTATTATGTTTATTATTTTGACTTTAATGTAAAATAGAATAAAAAATGCAAAGAACCATATCTTTTTCTATGTCCTATTGCTGTATGAAATCAGAGGAGTGAAAATGCAGAATTTATTTCACATGTCAAATACCAAATTTGACTGGGAAATCGATAGTTTTTCATTGAAACCCATGTAATAAATGCATGTATTCATTGAAGTCTTCCATATTAAAGAGCCCCGAGAACACAGTTATTTCATAGTGCATTTCTTTTAGACAAAAAATGCAAATTAAAAAAATCGCACCTGCATTATCCAAAAAAGATTTTTACAGTGTAGTGCACTACTTTTGGGACAAATTATATCAAAATTATAGAAAAGTCTATCGGCTCTAACTCAAAATATGGATAGTTTTATGTTAAAGGGGTCTGTAATTCAGTTTGACAGCTTCAGACATACAGTACTTATTTTTGACCTTTTCAAACTGGATCAAATCACTACTTTACGTAAAAAATCATGCCCCAAATTTTTTTTACATGTAATTTCATCCCCTTACTTACCATTTTAGGCATAAATATAAAGAAATAAATTTGGAAGGTGTATGAAAAAATTTGCAAGTTATACACTGTCCACACTAGGGACTCTATTCTATTTCGTAGACAATGAAAACCAAAGGAAGTTAACTGTGTCCCTGGACCAAGATGCTGAAAACTCAAGCAAATATAAAAATGTTATACATGTATTACAAAAAAAAAAAATATATGCTGTCCAATATTTACAACCTGTCGATAAACATTATTGCCCAAACGTACATAGACTATGTCAAGGAGGAAATTTACAGCCATAATCATTTCGTGACACTTCCAGTAAGTTTATCTAGCTTTTTTTTTTTTACCTTTTTCATGCAGAAGAAGTCTTAATATGAGTTGTAGCAAATACAATTGCATTATTTTGCACAGATTTTTGAAATGACAATTTAATTAAATAGGAAAACTTTTGTTGATAAGATTGTGTGGAAATGTAGTTTAAGAGTTGAAAAGTCAAAATTTGACTCTCTGTGGAGTGTATGGACCTGAATGTAGAAAAATTATTAATTTTATTCTTAAGAAATTCCAAGTAGTATTTACATCATACCATCATCACATTGTTGATTGCTTTTTTGGCCGATACGAACAAAAACCACTTTGCAAGAACTTGAAGTTTGTTTCTTATCTAGAAATTGGCATACAATGTATTATGTATCCTTTAATTATTTTCTAAATTATTTTCATAATGTGTTAATTTTATATCGAATATATTACACATGTATTTATCTAAATCTAAATAATCAGGACATTTTTTTATCAGATTTGTTCCTGCTTTTACACAGTTAATTAAATTTTTACAATTCAATGAAAGAGCAAATGTTTTTAACTTCTTGGTCTAGAACAATGTTGAGGTCCCCCATAATAACATGACCATGGAGATCATATCTAAAATGTGATGACTCAGAGTCTATTTATAAGTAGAATACAGAAAAAAAATAAATCTTCAAAAATGTTGAAATAGATACTGTTTTTTGGTCATAAAGAATCTTCTGTTCCAAGTTTTGTCAAATTTCATAAATGTTTGACTACATTATTAATGTCTTACAAAACCTTTTACCCCCAAGTTAAACCTAAATGTTGACAACACAATGTAGGTTTGCTAAGTATATCTACCGTGTAAATAAACAAAGGTTACTGATATTTATACCACATGCCATGAATATCTTTTTAAAATAGCTGATTTGTTTTTAGTATCTTATTTGGCCCCTATTTTCAATTTCTATCTGCAGCTTAATTTGCTCACTAGTTATACATAACTAGAGATATATTGACTATTTAAAAGTTGTATGCATACTTCATGTACTTACAGAGATAATAGCTTAAAGTATGTGATTTTTAGAAATATGAGAATTATTATGCACAAATTACATGCATTACAATGACTTTTTATCATGAACTCAGAAATAATTACTTCAAATTTGTGACAAAATCAGAATTTAAACAAACCAAATCTTTCAAAGAGATGTTTTTTCCTTCAGTTTAAGTAATTGACCTCTAATAACAAGCACTTGTTATTCATGATGTTCACATAAGAAATTGTCCCAAAAAGTACACATAAAAAGGTTCAGTGTAAGATCATTTCTTGTAGTGATTTTTTAGAGAATGGAAGTTATCATAGGTGATGCACTCTATAATACATGTCAGTGAATTCTATATGTATCTTGTGACAGGATCATCAATCAAGGTGTACCAACCTTCAATGCCCAGCAATCCCCGTTTCCAAGTCATTCACTTAATACCAGCATTGGATGTGACCATTTATCTCAAGGTCAACTTTTTGTTATTTTTAAAAAGACATGACAATATTGTCCTTCATTCATTACATTTGACGTCCTATATCTCTTATTTGTTAACACAGAGCATAATCCAGCAGCATGGAAGGGGAGCTATGTGTATTAGTAAAAAAAAAAACAATTCTAATTTACCAACAAAATGCAATTCTGCCAAGGCAGAAAGGCAGATTTTAAAGAAATATAAACTTTTAATCTTTTCTATAATATAGATTATTGAATCCACATTTTTTCTTCCTTTTACTTTTCAATATTCAAAAAATTTAGGTCAATGTTGTATATATAATAAGAAAGGGCTCTACGTAAATACAAATTATAAAATATCAGTTATTTGTTTTTTTCTATATCTGTAAAATAATCTTAAATTTGTGAAATGTATATATTTAAAAATCCTGCGATTATGGCATAAACATGTCTTTTTTTTTCATTAAGATACAATTTTGAATGTATTTTTAAACTTCACAATAACTCCAAAAGGAAATTCTTTATCTGAATGGAAATCTGACATCAAAATTAAGTACTGGCTAACAGATCTAAGAGATATAGAAAATCAATATGGCTAATAAAGTTAGCTTCACTCACACTATCAGAAAGCCTCTTACCTTTTGGTTTTGGTATACATGTATTATTTTCTTCTATAAATCCATCTTTACATTTACAATCATAGCTGCCATCTTTATTTGTACACACTTTATTTTCATCTTCACATACATCTTCTAATTGACATTCATCTACATCTGCAAAATACTCAAATTCTGAGATGATATCTTTTTTCCAGATAAGAAAGAAAGTTTTCTAAGTACAAGTTTAATAATTGTCTTCCATAAGCAGTATTAACAAATTTGTCTAGATTGTTGTCAGACACTGGTGTGTCTGTTTTTGGAAGTACTGTCATAAATCTTTAGACATTTTTTCTATTTTTTGTCTTTCAAGTAGTACTTATTTGGAACTAAGTAAAGTAGCACAGAAACATTGTTAAAAACTGGTTTTGGAATATTTATAATTCCATCACAGATTTATGACAAGCTGATGAAGTCTTTAAAATAACTGTCTACCTGTTCGTTCATGGCCAATAAAAATAAGGTTGAGTAGGGAAAGAGGAAGATTTTTTAGATCTGGACTTTTCTCCTCCAGCTTGGATTACAGTGAAAGCTTATGTGGGTTTAAATATTAAGGCAAAATTGGTCCTTTTGGCAAGCAGAATAAATTTATTTAACAATGGCTTGGTTGACTACACATGTATTTCATTTTTAGTATTTGCAATCCTTCTTCACTTAATTATGACTTTTTGCAAGATTTTTTATGAGCTTCAAGTGTTCCTCAGTTTTTAAAATACAGAGTTATTTTCTGTGTAGTATTTGTGGACAGTTGTTTGTCTTTTTGTCTTTCATCTGGTCATAGTGTTGTCTGTCATTCTTTGAAAGTTTTATGAAACTTAGTTGAGAAAACAAATATCATTTTCTTTTTATGTTAAATAAACTGCAATTTTCTTATTTCTAAATGCTACTATACATTACCTTTACAGGAGTTATCTTCCATGGTATAACCTTCTGCACATTTATCACATTTATCTATACCATACAATGTACATCCATCGCAGGCTTTATGGCAAGCTGCAAAGACATTCAAAATATAGCTACCATTTATCTAGATGTAAAAAAGCAGGCCATTAACAACAGCATTCAATTATAACAAGATACGGGTATGTTGAGACCTTAATTTAAAATTATGAACTTTCCATAAATATTGGTCATCAGTCAGGGGACTTATTGAAATAAGTGATTTTTAAATCACTTATTTAAGTAGCAAATTCGAAGTTTTGTCACAAATTGTGATTTTGTAGTTTTACCAAAATTTTAAACACAGGTTAAGATAATATCTTTTCATTAGTAAAATTGAAAAAAATGAACTTTTTGCTTCTTTTAAGCAGCAAGGTTTATGCCTTTGATGCAATCATTTAGCTGCAAATTCTATTTTAGTTGAAAAAATGCTATAAAAATGGCTTTGCATAATGAACTGATACTTTCTTAACAGATTTTTCCCAGCAGTGGGAGTATTTTATCTGTAAAATTCAAGGTTTCATCTTATAGATTATGTAACAAAATTCTACTGTTCGCGATCAAAATTTCACTGTTCGGGGGTGTTGAAATTAGTGGGGGTTATTAAAATAATGATACTTAAAGAAGTGATATTTTGGAAGGAAATTGAGGTATGATACTTAAACAAGTGATTTTTATGTCATTATCCTAGATTTAGTACAAGGTCATCACCTGACATGACCCAGTCATCCTATCAACACAGATGTTGGTTCTGATAATTTTAGCAACATAATTAGTCCCTGGATCATTAGTATTCTATATTTAAAGCTACAAATGTACAATAAAATTAAATCACTTAGTTTAGTGATTAATTTGTACTACTTAAATAGGTGATTATTAAAGAAAGACAACTCTTACTTCCAACCTTTATGGACATAATGTTACTTGAATCAGTGATTTCGAAAATCACTCATTTAAGTAAGTCCCCTGACTGGTCATACTCTTTATGTATAAATTTTTTTTTAAGACAAATAGACCATACAAGTTAATTCTGAATTGATTTGATAAATTATAAAAAAATCTATATCAATAATAAAATCTAGCACAATTACCATGCAAGGATAGTTGCCATAAAACTCTATATTCCAGTTATAGTACTATAAACAAATAAAAAGTTTGTTACATTTATGTTTTCTCTTTATTACATGTATTTCAAAGTACATATTTGGTCTCACTTATCATTAAAAATTGAACTTTTAATTTAAGATTTATGTTGATGCGTATTTCAAATTTAAGGTAAATCAAAACTACAAACATGAAGTAAAGGATCCATCTTTTCACTATTAATGCAGTTATGATGTCATAAAAAATCCACTTCTTTACATTTTGAAGAAAATACATAAATTTTGGTCAATTTTCAAATGGTTTTTGGACCTGAAATTATAGAATGCATTCAAGTACTGATTAACTAATTTGCAAGCGTTTTTGTCTATATGAACAAAACCTCCGTTGCAATTAGTTATTTTTCAATATTTCACACTTACAAATTTTTGTCATTTTCTAATAAAAACTTTAATTATGCTATCTTTTGATCATTTAATCTACGTGTTTGTTCATCAAATTTGAAAGGCTTTTCAGTTTTAACTTTGCAATTCCTAAACAACATAAATAATGTTCAAGTTTTAGAAAAAAAGTGATAGAATAAATTAAAAAGCTTGCAACACAATGGGTACTGGTTACTTCTGTTGAATATCAAGATGGTTTAATAGATGTAGGTCAGTATAATGTGTAAATTATAAATCATGGCTTATATCGATTTCTTCTTTCGTGAAACAGAATAAAGTATTTCGTGTACATTTAATCTTGGTACTTTTTCTTCACTCAGATATGTCTTGTCATTTCCACCTTAAACTTCCATCTTCTGTCACTCGTATTTCAAATCTATCTTTTTTTTTTTAATATAGAAACAAAAACAGAACTAATTTTTAAAAGGTATTATATGTGCAAGTCTTATAATGATAGAAAAAAAGTTGACACATCTAATTCATGGGATGATCATCTAGAAGTTTTGTCAATTCTGTTCCAACTCCCAATACTTACAAGTGGAAATGAAAAAAAGCACCTGAGCTGTAATTTACTGTACATGGTAAAACTTACTTGCACAATGGTATGAGCCTTGTGTATTTGAACAATACTGTCCATGTTCACATGAAGCATCTGTTTCACATTCATTTATATCTAAAATTAAATACCAGGGATGCAAATGATTGAATAAACAAGAATGTGTCCATAGTACACGGATGCCCCACTCACACTATCATTTTTCTATGTTTAGTGGACCGTGAAATTTAGGTCAAAACTCTAATTTGGCATTAAAATTAGAAAGTTCATATCATAGGGAACATGTGTACTAAGTTTCAAGTTGATTGGATTTCAACTTCATCAAAAACTACTTTGATCAAAAACTTTAACCTGAAGCGGGACAGACGGACGGACGGACGGACGAACGAACGAACGGATGAACGGACGCACAGACCGAAAACCATAATGCCCATAAATGGGGTATAAAAATGTATAAATATTGGCATAAAAATACATAAGATTGCCTAAAGTGTTTTATATTTTAAATGCACAGCAGATTCCACAACAATGGAATAATAAACATGATAAATAATAATAATAAAGTTCAAATTGAAAACCTATGTGATCACTAGAGCATATTGCATTCAAATATATTACTATCATTTGAAATTTAACAAAAATCAGTGGGTTGTTTGAAGCAGAAAATTTCATTTAAGTATAAGACAACATCAAGTAGCATGATGATAGGTTGCACTTCTGTAAATATAGACAATGCAATTTCCCATAGGAACTCCTTTTACGGCTAAAACTGTGCCACTTTTACTATGAAGCTTCGTAAAAAATTATATCCTAGAATGGAAAGTTTATATGTACTACTATATTATTAAAAGGTCAAAACATGTGCAGCATATTTTCAACATTTATATGCCTCGAACTTCTAAGAGCTTAAACTTATACTAAAATTCTATACTACCCCTCCCTTCACTTTGGGTCTTCCTCAGAATTCAATTTGGCCGCTATCAATGTGTATTTAAACTGGTAACATTCTCAAGTTGTGTCTCTACGAGATGAAGCATAAAGATCATATATGGGAACCAGGAGGTAAACAAAACAAAATATCTATGAACATTAAATTTCTCCCCGAAAGAGGCATGGTTCAGAAACAGCTGTAATTACAAAGTGTAACCTACAGGTCTCTATAATGACAATTTATGAATTTAGTGCAACCAAAAAACATTTTTCTGGATTAACCTTCATCAAAAAGGCTCACATCAAAAGATTGAAAGCCAAGGATGTATTACAACCTTAAATTGTGAAGAGCAACATGAAGTTTCCAAGCTCTATTAAAGTTTCCAAGATATGAACCCAAAAAAGAAAGATAAATTGATGAAATTGAAGCATGAGGTATATTAAATATCACTGATTCATTCACTACAAAAACAATGTCTCCCAAATATACAGTTGTCGCAAACACACTTTTTCACACATACATAAATACTTGCTCACGTTAAAGCATGTTTGACCAATTTCAACGAATGCTGAGCAACCTCTTATTTGGATTTATAATGCATACAATTGTCCATTGATAAACAGTTTAAAATGAAACAACATTTGTAGACACAACCATACCGATTGACATAATCTTTTCTCGGCTTTACATATATATATCAGAAAATGTTTCAGCTTTAAACATAGCATTATACATATTGAAGTTAAGGATTTGGTTTACAAAATCAAAGGAAATGTCACTCTTACTGTCATTCTGAATGAATTTCACCTATTGAACCAATTTTTGAACAAGAATTATAATCAATTTTCCGACTCAGTGGAAGAATAATTATTTACCTTTGCAACCCTCTTCTTCATTCTGGTCCCATCCTTTTCCACACTCATCACATCCTTTAGGACCAGCCTCCCAACATGTGGACTTGCATGACACATGACAAGCTACAATGCAGTCATCAACAATTGTATTAGATAGTTTAGGGGTCAACTATGTATATAATATATTATTGTGATGCTCATGTAACATTTGTGTGACTATATTAACAATGTGTCAGTATGAGTCTTCCTGTTCTGTTTATGACATTGATGGATGATATCTTCTCCAAAGTACAGCCACAATATAGAGTACAAAATGTAATATATATGATGGCATGATATCAGATCAGCAGGATAAGTTTTGGTAAATGCTGGCATTTTAATAGGACAGATGATTGAGAAATCTTGATTTAATAAGTGATCATTTTAATGTTCTACTTATTTTAATGTTCATTCTATACACTTAAAACTATATTCTTTTTATTTTCAATAAACCATATCTCTGGAACTATAAAAGTTAACTATATAAACTTTTCAAATTCCAAAAAAAAAACAAAGAAAAGAAAAAGAAAAAGCCCTAATTCCTGTACATTCTACCTATTGACTAAACACTTTGCACCAAAAAGATGCTCACAAGCTTACAACTTAGTATTCAGGCTGTAATTTGATTTACTCTTACCTGTACATTTTATGTGTGTATCGTTTTTACTTTCTTCAAAGTATGCATCTTTACATTCATCACACAGATCACCTTGGTAACCACTATCACAGTTACATTTCCCAGTTCCTTCTCTTGTGCCTTCTCCCTATGTAAATATACCATCATATTTAGAAAAAGAACTGTGAAGGACATGAAGGATAGTTTTTGCCAAGAAGAAATTTTGGATATGCCTGAATGTGTGTGACTTAAACTATGTGTTTCAACTTTAAATATTAAACTAGGGGCTGCTGTATCACTCACCTGTTAATTTGATAAAATTGATACAATGTAATGAGAATATTTCAATTAGTTTCTAGCAAAAACACCCCAAAAATGTAATGTCATCCTCCGAGGTTATATATCCTGAAAGGAGTCATCTAACGGTTTAATGCATGTTGACTGATATGTAGATCGTGTCTTTTTGATAATTTTTGCTATTTACAGTTTCTCTCCATCTACTATAGCATACGCGAAAAAACCCAAAAATGGTTAAAATTGTCATTCAAGGAGTCAACTGACAATTTTGGCAATATAGACTTAATTGTAAATCTTTTCATGCTGATAATTTTTGCAAAAACAGTTTTTTTCTATCTAGTATAGCTTCCACAAACTAGAGGCTCTCGAGAGCCTGTGTCGCTCACCTGACTCTACTTTGGTTTTAGAAATCATGTAAAGATAGATAAAAATCATAACAGATACCCAAATAATGATTGAGGCCAAATTTTGATTAATATTGGTCCCGTTATTTAATAAAATATCCTGGTGGCCATCTTGAACAGTAAATCGGCAACAAAGTAGCAACACTTGGTCAGCACTTCATAAGGAACATTCATGCCATGTTTGGTTTCATTCCATTCAGTGGTACTCTTATAATAAAGAGAAGACATTTGTATGTATTTCCCATAGGGTCCTATGTTAAACTAAGCCCCCCGCTGGCGGCCATCTTGGATGATGGATCGGCTACAAAGTAACAACACTTGGTCAGCATCTCATAAGGAAGATTCATGCCATGTTTGGTTTCATTCCATTCAGTGGTTCTCTAAAAAAAGACATTTGTATGTATTTCCCATAGGTCCTTTGTTAAACTAAGTCCCCTGCTGTCGGCCATCTTGGATGATGGACCGACTGCAAAGTAACAACACTTGGTCAGCACCTCATAAGGAACATTCATGCCATGTTTGGTTTCATTCCATTCAGTGGTTCTCTAAAAGAAGACATTTGTATGTATTTCCCATAGGGTCCTATGTTAAACTAAGTCCCCCGCTGGCGGCCATCTTGGATGATGGATCGGCTACAAAGTAACAACACTTGGTCAGAACCTCATAAGGAACATTCATGCCATGTTTGGTTTCATTCCATTCAGTGGTTCTCTAAAAGAAGACATTTGTATGTATTTCCCATAGGGTCCTATGTTAAACTAAGTCCCCCGCTGGCGGCCATCTTGGATGATGGATCGGCTACAAAGTAACAACACTTGGTCAGCATCTCATAAGGAACATTCATGCCATGTTTGGTTCCATTCCATTCAGTGGTTCTCTAAAAGAAGACATTTTTATGTATTTCCCATAGGGTCCTATGTTAAACTAAGTCCCCCGCTGGCGGCCATCTTGGATGATGGATCGGCTACAAAGTAACAACACTTGGTCAGCACCTCATAAGGAACATTCATGCCATGTTTGGTTTCATTCCGTTCAGTCGTTCTCTAAAAGAAGTCATTTGTATGCATTTCCCATAGGGTCCTATGTTAAACTAAGTCCCCGGCTGGCGGCCATCTTGGATGATGGATCGGCTACAAAGTAACAACACTTGGTCAGCACCTCATAAGGAACATTCATGCCATGTTTGGTTTCATTCCATTCAGTGGTTCTCTAAAAGAAGACATTTTTATGTATTTCCCATAGGGTCCTATGTTAAACTAAGTCCCCCGCTGGCGGCCATCTTGGATGATGGATCGGCTACAAAGTAACAACACTTGGTCAGCACCTCATAAGGAAGATTCATGCCATGTTTGGTTTCATTCCATTCAGTCGTTCTCTAAAAGAAGTCATTTGTATGCATTTCCCATAGGGTCTATGTTAAACTAAGTCCCCGGCTGGCGGCCATCTTGGATGATGGATCTGCTACAAAGTAACAACACTTGGTGAGCACCTCATAAGGAACATTCATGCCATGTTTGGTTTCATTCCATTCAGTGGTTCTCTAAAAGAAGACATTTGTATGTATTTCCCATAGGGTCCTATGTTAAACTAAGTCCCCCGCTGGCGGCCATCTTGGATGATGGATCGGCTACAAAGTAACAACACTTGGTCAGCACCTCATAAGGAACATTCATGCCATGTTTGGTTTCATTCCATTCAGTGGTTCTCTAAAAGAAGTCATTTGTATGCATTTCCCATAGGGTCCTATGTTAAACTAAGTCCCCCGGCTGGCGGCCATCTTGGATGATGGATCGGCTACAAAGTAACAACACTTGGTCAGCACCTCATAAGGAACATTCATGCCATGTTTGGTTTTATTCCATTCAGTGGTTCTCTAGAAGAAGTTCAAATTGTAAAAAGTTAACGCCGACGACGGACGACGCCGGACGACGGACGACGGACGCCAAGTGATGAGAAAAGCTCACTTGGCCCTTCGGGCCAGGTGAGCTAAAAACCACTGGGCATAATATAATAAATCTGCGGCCTCAGTATTTCATTTACAGGGATCACTAGCCTGTCAACACTAGTACTGAGGTTGTGAGTTTGAATCCTGCTTTGGAAAGGTGTGTTCTACTCCAATCTTAATTAAATAAGATTGCCAAATTTCCTGCCAAATATAGGTGATTTTCTTCTGGTACTCCAGCTTCCTCCAACAAAAACAACTGGCTGCCATGATAAAGTCAAAAGTGCTGAAAGTGGTGTTCAACACTAACAATCAATCTGATAAATCGGCTCATATAAACAGTTTTGTCACGATCATCTTTATTTTGTAAGCATGATAATACTTGCAAGACAACTTTTCACATAATTAACATTTCCATAGACCAAGTGGTCTATTGTATTGTCCAATATATTTTTTGATTTCTGACATCCTTTTTATTATTCATGTACATTTATTTACTTACATCACATTTGCCATTGCTCGTACAAGGTCTATCTTTATCTCCTTTACACTGTGAACATGATGGTCCATAGGTATTCTTTGGACAACAAACTGAAATAAAATTAAAATTTTTTTTTTTAAAACCTACGATGCAAGTAAAAGCGTGAAATGGATTATTTTGGAATGCAGGAATAAAATCTTCTTTATGTAGTTAAATTTTCTTTGTAAATTTAAGGAAAAATCCTGTGGGAGCAGGAATCATTCAACAGTGAAAAATACAATTTTTTTTATCAACTATGAAATCAAAATATGAAAGTTTACCTCAAACAGAAATACCTACGTATATATAATAACTTTAAACAATGTTATCTTATTATTACAGATCAAAGTCCTGGGAAAGTATTTTTTTTAAAGAAAAAATGCAAAAAAATTGGTAAAAACTGCCATTTAAGGGCAATAACTCATAAAGAGTCAATCAACAATTTTTGCAATTTTAAATCTTGTGGATCTACCCTTGCTGATCATTTTTGCTTTATAAAGTTCTCTGTGTCGATTAAAGTTCTCAATTTACTATGCCAAAATGTAAAAAAATTGTCATTTAAGGGCAATAACTCCTATAAGAAGTCTTTTGATTTAAATGGACAGGTGAGCTAAAAATGATAATGTACAAATGTACAAATTTTGAAAGAAGAAAGGGATTTTTTTTGTCAAGCTCAATTGCTGTATTTAGATTTTCATAGATGTTAGCTATAGTCATAGACCAATTTTATTATCATTTGTGGTGAGTTTATGTATTAATTTCAAGGTTGATTTTTTGATAAATTAGGTATGTTGTGTTGAGTCGTTAGTTTTGTATTCATATCTTTACTGCTCATGTGATAACATGGGAAAGGGATGTATGGACGGGTACGGACATAAATCAGAAGCAGATGTCAAGAAGAATATTTGGAAATCATTTTCTTTTCCAAACTACTCCCTAGATAGTCCAAACTACATAATGAAAATGTTAACAAACTACACTATGCATGCAAGCCTCATGACACATGATTCGTACGGATTAGTTTAATCTGGTACATTTTTGTAGTGGTAGATGTGACATACAAAAAAAGGTGTCCTTATTTATGATATAAACAACATCAAAAGCAATGCACTTGATGCAAAGTTCTAAAAACAAACAGAATCTGAAGAAGGCTTCATTAAATCATCAAAAACAGTTGTTGTAATTCATCATTTTTTGTAATTGTCTAACAACTACTAACAACATGAACAATAAAGAACAGAATCTGGCAAAGGCTTTGCAACCAAAATGTTGACAATTGAGTCAATTTTCAAATCTATAGACAAGTTCCTCATATTTTTTTCTTATAGAGATATTATACCCTGTAATAATTTTTTCAGCCCAATGTTACATCAGATAATTGTATGTCTCCTTTTTATAACAATTATAGATGCAAACAAAAACAAATCAAAACAAGTAAATAATGAATAAGTATATATTGTATTGAATATCTACCTTTTATATTTTCTATGCATAACCACTGGAAAAAATCTGCATCTCTTTTCTTTTGAAATTGGTTAAACCAAAATTTTTCTAATAAGTCTTCATATTCTTCTACCATGGTATGACACTGAAATTCATTAAAAACATAAAATTATTCTTAATCTAGCTATTTAAAGCATATCTGAAATAAAAAAGACTGTTTTGATGTTACATGTGTTCTAGTGTTCAAACTGCATTGATGGAGTTTTATTTTTTTTTCACTTGCAAGTAAGTCCTTGAAGTTATAATAATCTTGCATTCCTTAAAGTACCTGATGACTTTGTTAAATATGAATCAAATAAGAAACAAAAAAAATACATATAATTTGAAAGGATTGAAAACTGAAAATACAAAATTTTTCGTAATTTACACAACAAACTAAATATTTATTATTCGTAAATTGTTTTGTTATAAATTAGGCCGATAGTTTTCTCAAATGAATTGTTTCATATTTTTCATGTCAGAACCTTTTATAGTCAACTATGCGGCATGGGTTTTCTCATTGTTGAGGCCGTACTGTTGCCTTACAATAAGATTGCATTTTGCCAGTTGGTATCTTAATGCAAGTGTCAATGTCAAACTGATAAAAGAGCAAAAAATTATCTAGACCAGTCATACATACAGGAATCTGATGTTCAGTAGTTGTCGTTTGTTGATGTGGTTTATAAGTGTTTCTCGTTTTTTATATAGATTAGACCGTTGGTTTTAACGTTTGAATGGTTTTACACTATTAATTTTTTGGGGCCCTTTATAGCTTACTGTTCGGTGTGAGCCAAGGCTCCGTGTTGAAGACCGTACTGTGACCTATAATGGTTTACTTTTATAAATTTTGACTTGGATGGAGAGTTGTCTCATTGGCACTCATACCACATCTTCTTATATCTATATAATACTTTATCATGGTTATACCCGTTCATGCATCACAGTATTTTTGAACTATCTGATAAGTGATATACATTTCATATGCTTATAAGCACTTTTAAAAGTAATTGATAATAAATAAGCCCAGGATAGTGGTCATTGTTATACATTTTGTAGTTACCAAATTAAAAAGTGTTGGGTATGTGTAGATACACCATAGGAGGGACTAAATTTCACGAGAAAGCTTTGCTTTCGAGTGAAATTTAGTCCATCCTGTGGTGTATCTACACATACCCAATCAAATTTCTAATTTGGTAAATGACATGTGTCAAAGTTCATTAGACGTCACAATTAACTGATATCACGTGATGAAAAGTGCCTTTCCCGCTAAATTATCAATTTGCGCGTTTCAGTCGTCTGAAATGGCTGCAAAAATGGAGATCAGTGACATTGACTTTTTGAATGTAATTCCTGAATGGGACAACAGTATAGACGATCTAACATTATCACAAACATGCAAAGATGCTGAAAATGAAAATACTGCTTTCGAAAAGCTGGAGGATTTAACTCTTTCTCAGGCTTTGGACCAATATGAAGTGGATTTTGAAATGGATGACTTGCCAGATTTTGAACTTACACAGGTTCCCCTTATGGCGCATAATATTATTGAAGAATTGGAAAAGGCTGTTACTGTGAATTGTAACGAGAATTCACGCTATTCTTTTGTGGAAGATATTGATATTGATAAGTTAGTTAAGTCAACTGAAAGCAGAAATACACGGAAAAATACTACTTGGAGTGTCGCCACATTTAACGACTGGAAAGTTGCGCGAATGAAAAGTAATTATTGTGCCATTCCAGAACTTTTACAGTTTACCGCCAATGATGTAAATCAGTGGCTTAGCAAGTTTGTAATAGAGACCAGAAGAAAAGATGGTAAGCCGTATCCCCCAAAGACATTATATCTTTTATGCGTTGGCATACTGAGATTTCACCGAGAGAATGGTGTGCATATGAACTTTTTGGACGAAAAAGACTGTGTATTTTATGATTTCAGACGTTCTTTAAGCGCACGCATGACCGAACTCACAAAACAGGGTATAGGCACCACTACTTAACAGGCAGAGGCGATAAGCCAGGAAACAGAAAGCACTCTCTGGGAAAAGGGTTTGCTTGGGAGTACCATTTCTAAAGCTATAATGAATATTATGTTTTTCTATAACAGTAAACTTTTTGGATTCAGAGGTGTAGATGAGCATCGGAATCTGTCCGTGGACCAGTTCGAACTGGGAAAGGATCAGACGGGAAGCTATATATTATTCAAGGGCAGAGCCAACAAAACATACAAAGGTCAGTTTAATTTTCTTACATTTTTTAAGTATTTTCCTTTCTTGTGTATTTTAATTCGTTCTTTTGTGTAATTTGGTCACAATACTTGACTGACGATTTTTAGAAAAACGGGTGTCTTCGTTGAGGTCCGTGCTACAACAGGTGCTTCATTTATGCAAATTCATTGTAAAAACGGGTATATTATATCTTGCGTAGCGTGTATGCTTATTACATTTTACCCAATCCAGGCAATATAAAACTGTTTCATATTTCATTAATTAGTTTTGTTCAGTGTATGATTTAAATGTCACTCAATGTCAGTACTTCATTTTTTCAGGTGGACTCAATCAGCAGAACTTAAGTGCCAAAAACTTAAAACACTATCTACAAAATCCAGTACTTTTTAAGATATATGAACAATATTTGAATATTGTACGCGATTTAAATGGAACAGCCTTTTACAGGAGACCGTTAGATAAAGGAAGTATTAAGTTCGGTGAACAGTCGGTAGGGGTCAACAAATTGTCTAATATCAACGAAAACCATGTGTGCAGAAGCCGGAATAGATGGGTATTTCACTAACCACTCTGGTAAAAGGACATGTGCCACGACATTATACCAGGCAGGAGTCCCAGAACAAGAAATCATGAACAGAACAGGCCATAGGTCAGTGGAGAGTGTTAGAAAATATAAAAGGGCTTCCAATGAGATGTTAAAGGATATCTCAAATATCCTTGAACCGAGCGAAAGCATTTGCAAGAAAATTAAACATGAAGACAGCACAGAAATTCAGAATCGCACAGAAAATCGTGAACCATCAAAAAGTGCTGCAGGAGGCGTTGGAAGTTTGTTCACTGGATGTGTGTTCAATTTTAATAGTGGAAGTTAAATATATTTGTGATTATTTCAGTATTTCATAATTTGTGGATTATGTGGTGTCTTTTATTCAAAGGAATATATGCATTTTGGAATTCCATCCTTTTTTGTAGTGAAATATTTGCATAATGGAATTTTATGCATTTTTTTTTGGTAGTGAAATTACCAGTGTGCCATTCTCGACGATCAGAGGATTTATATATGTGGCTTCTTGTTTTACATTTTTTTTAAATAATACAGTTATTAAAATTCATTGTTGTATTTATTTTAAGAAAAAGAAAGAATATGGGGTATTTGCCAATGAGACAACTACCCAACACTATAGTTTTAGCAAAAATTTAGAGTTGAAAAGTATTACAGGAAAGAAAATGTTACATTGTAGGTTCTGGCTAAAAGTGTGAGGTATCTAACATACGCCACATGACCATTCTTCTGGTAAACCAATCAGATGGTTGATATGGAACTGTGGTGTATGTGTAGATACCCTCACACTTTTTCAATGGAAAATTAAACAAACTATTGTACATGTGCTTTAGTCTACTTTGACTGATCTGTTACAAATGATAGTTTAAACACTAAATCATCCAGATAGTGTTTTTTAATGTGATATCTATGCTTTTTTCGTTAAAAGTCATCAAATATTTTTTTAATCTTATCAACCAAATAATATTTAGGAAATATACTCGAAAAATACACACGGTAAACACAGAATCACAGAATCACTCTTGGACTTTTTGGTGATCATTTTTCACAATGTAATGCTGGTGATTCACTCTTAGGTACTCTAGGTAATCTCATTCTAGCTTCAAAAGATTTTATATCACACTTGTTTATTTTTAACAACTGTATGACTGTATGTTGCTCTCAAGATCATGTTTTTTTGTTATTTTTGTTAATGAATTGCTGTGTCACTGATATACACCCAACATCGCCATTATTTATATATATTTATTGAATTTCCGAACAAGTTACTGGTGGCAGAAAACACATGAACTTTTGATTACAGATTTGGAAAACAGATTTGAAACAAAACCTTTCATTTTGGCAAAGAATCCATGCTAAACATCAAGCATTCCATGCTAAACTATCTGTTTCATGTATGTAGACAATAAGTTACATTATCTTAATTTCAAATTACCTCTTTAATATCTTTAGAACACAAATTTTCAACAATTTCCACAAGTCTTGTCTCACTGCAAAATAGAAAAATAAAAGTTAACTTAAAAACAATTAATTCTGGATGTGATCTTCATAAATAGAAGTTTAATTTATTATAATCTAAGCACTGTGTATTTTGGTGGTAATTTTCCAAAATGATGGGCAAGCAATCATTTTTAACATAGGGATTGATTTTGGAAAAGAATATTATACCTACATATCAATTTTCATTGAAACCCTAGCAAAAACAGATGTTTCCCAAATTTTACAATTTTTTAACATAAATTAATTTTTTCCACAATTTTTACACAAAGATAACATTGAAATCCTATCACAAAAAGATTTTTCTAAAAATTTGTGAATTTTTAACAAAAAGTAAGTTTTGCACAGGTAAGTTAGCACACAAATTAATTTTTGTCATAAGAAATCCATTTCCAATAGCATATCATAACTTAAATTTCAATTTTAGTTGAAAATCTAACACAAAAAATTGTTTCTTAAATTGTAATATACATGATGACTATTACATGTGTGTTAACAAAATTTCTAAACAGTGAGAATGAATAAATTATTCAATCACTTCACTGAACATGAATGTTGTTCACTGTAAAAATCAAAAAATGTTGTCAAGAATTGATTTGTTGCTGTCCAATTTAAGGATTAAATTAATAGGTAAAAAAGAGCTAGAATTTTCAATTCCACTAAATTCAGATAGGTACCTATTAATTAAATACTTAAATTTGACAGCAATAAATCAAACTACAAAATAACCTGGCATTTTGTAAGATCGATATATAATCATGATAATTGAGATAGCTGTGGAGTTTCATGAAAATCCTAGCTGATTTGAAAAAGTAATAGAATCTTTTAAAGATGACTATCTGAATTTAGTCCAAACTGAAAATTCTAGCTTTTTTTACTACTTATTAACTCATTTAATTGCTCATTGTTGAAGGCTGTATGGTGACCTATAGTTGCTTTATTCTACTTTTTGTTAGACTCTGTTGGATAGTTGTCTCATTGGCAATCATACCATATCTTAAAATGTCCCAATTTTATATACACTGCTGTACTTGAAACTACACTTCATATTTCTACAAACCTTGTAGCATAACTTCCTAGACTTTTCTCTTCCCATCTTGTATTACCACCACCAAAGTTGGCCTTAGCAGTTTTCTTAAGACCCTACAAATATATTGAAAGAATGGATCAGATGCAAATGTATTTACAAATATTGAATTGCCTTTATACATGTACATACATACTCATATTCAACTAATAACTTTTATGTTCGATCTACATGTATCAAAATCAGACAATGACCAATACTTTTCACTAAAATGCCATAAAAGATTGGAATAATTTAAAAATTGAAATAAAAAAAGGTTTGAAATATTGAATATTATTGATGACTTTATATCTGGTGTGAAATTGTTTATATTTGAACAAAAGAGACAACAATTTCTTAATGAATTTGCTGTCTAAAATTTAATTTTGTCCTATTCTAGCTAGATAAAACCAGTACAGTTGACTTTATTTTGTACACCAGGTTTTGCTGAAGAAGTGTATTTTTGCTTTGAAATGCCCCTTTCGAAGTGAGCCTTAAGGCTTTAATGGGTCATCCTATGAACCCTCCCACAAAGACAATAAATTTTTCCGAATCTCTAGTGACTGGTACCATTCCCACACCAGGGATGGGGTCGATTACTTTAAAATGTTATAGATTAAATTTCAATTACTTTGCTAATATAATTTAATGTAATTGATTACATCATTAGATTACTTTTCTTTAAAACAATCATGATTACTTTGGATTACATATGATTACATTGTATATTGTGATATTAAAGATTTTTTTATAAACTTTTTTGTCCGTACATAAAAAAAGCTACTTTTTGTGAAAATTATGTTTTTTTTTAAATATATGTATATTAAATGTAATAATTTTAATTGGAACTTGAACTTGGAGCAGTGTAACATGTGTATTGTTTGATAGCATAAAAGAATGTGACATTGTTTTTGTAAAAAATGCTTAACCAAGTGCAAATTTTCAATTAATAATAAAAAAAAAGGTGAAAAATTAATGATCAAGTAGTTTTATTGTTTGTGGGGTCATAATTGACACATACATATGTTTTTACAGGTGTTGATCACTACTTCAATTTTGTTGACAAACAATAGATAGCTCGATGTCTTCAACTTATGCCAACATTTGAAAAATATATATTCAACCTACATTGTATGCTAACAAACAAAATACAATCGGTGTTGTTATAACCATTAATAATAAATTACAGGTAAAATACAGTCAGTATTTTAAATATTAGAAATTACTCCTTTAGAATTAGAAACAACAGTTAAATAATTGCGAAATTATGTTGTGAAAAAAAAGACAAAAAACAAAACAATAGAACACTTCTGTATGGTAAAATACTTGCAAAATTTTGTTGTTCTAAATATGAAATTAAAAAACAAACATGAATGAAAAATAAAAAAAAGAATTAAAAAAAAGTGAAAATACCCATTTAACTTGTGATTTTTTTAAATACATCAGAATTGTTCATTTATGACATGTTGCTGAGTCTCTAAGCTAAAACGTGCATTAACTTTTATCAAAGAAGTGCTCTACTGCCAAATTAAATGTACAGAGAATTACAATTTACCCAGCCCATATGACATGTATGAGTAGCGGCATAAATATATTAATGTAGATAATATGTATGAGCGGTAATATGTCAGACCGCTTTTGAAATTTTATAATTTGGAAAGGCCAGATATGTACTGTTTAGAAAATATCTTTCTATATTATATGATATTTGTAACAATTAATATGTCAATTAATCAGACTACATGCTTTTAAGCTGCATATATATATATATATATATATATATATATATGAGTCTAAAAGATTGTGTAACAATACCGATAAATAGATGGAAAACAAAACACTAAAAAGTGTTGAATATCATCGCACAAAGATGGAAAAACTGAACAGATGATATAAATTATACAATAATTGCAAATATTTCGGCTCAACAAATGGCCTTCCTCAGTGTTAAAAGTTTTAACAATACTGATATATAATGTATAAGGTGTAAACATAGATCAGTAATAATACAGGTAAGTTTTGGTCGATTGATTTTAATCCAAAATCCTGAATATCATAATATAAACATTAGACTGTAAATTTAATTATTTCTTTCTATTGATTCCATCTGGATGGAGGACACCCAGTGTTTTTATCCAAAACTTCTCCCGATTCTCTCTTTGCCTATTTTGCCATGTACAATCCTGTTCGATCACAAGGATCTTCATGTGATCAAAATCTTTCAGATTGTGATCTGGTAACCTGAAGTGTTGGCTGACAGGAATATACGTTTTTTTTGTGAGGTCACTCCTGTGGCCATTAAGGCGTTTGTGAAATGGCTGCATAGATTCACCAACATATTGGAGACCACATATAGGACACTCAAGAACGTAAATCACGTTTGAGCTTTTGCAGTTGACATTGCAGAAGATCACTTCTGCAATGTCAACTGCAAAAGCTCAAACGTGATTTACGTTCTTGAGTGTCCGTATATTCCTGTCAGCCAACACTTCAGGTTACCAGATCACAATCTGAAAGATTTTGATCACATGAAGATCCTTGTGATCGAACAGGATTGTACATGGAAAAATAGGCAAAGAGAGAATCGGGAGAAGTTTTGGATAAAAATACTGGGTGTCCTCCATCCAGATGGAATCAATAGAAAGAAATAATTAAATTTACAGTCTAATGTTTATATTATGATATTCAGGATTTTGGATTAAAATCAATCGACCAAAACTTACCTGTATTATTACTGATCTATGTTTACACCTTATACATTATATATCAGTATTGTTAAAACTTTTAACACTGAGGAAGGCCATTTGTTGAGCCGAAATATTTGCAATTATTGTATAATTTATATCATCTGTTCAGTTTTTCCAACTTTGTGCGATGATATTCAACACTTTTTAGTGTTTTGTTTTCCATCTATTTATCGGTATTGTTACACAATCTTTTAGACTCATATAATTTTCCCTGTTTGTGTAGTATTGTCAATTTTGATGATCCAATACCTATTAAGTTTACTGGTTGGTAGATTCTTATAGACTCTATATATATATATAGAAGTCTATAAAAAGGACCAACCAGCAAATTTACTATGTACCGGATCGTCTAGAATAGACAATACTGTGCAGATAAGGAAAAAATTATATAAGTCTAAAGATTTGCACAATGATACTTATATAAGATGGTATTATACGAAGATGTTGTTATTAAATCGTGTTGACAAACGTTAAAATAATTGACACTGAAGAAGGCTATTTGTTAAGCCGAAATATTTGTCAACACGATTTAATAACAACATCTTCGTATAATACCATCTTATATAAGTATCATTGTGCAAATCTCTAGACTTATATATATATATATATATATATATATATACCATGTATACAGTATATACCAAATGTCAATATTAAAGTGCACAGTAAAAAAAAAAGGAAAAAAAAGAAGAAAAACACTTTACATGTACCTACAGTATGATCAGAGACATATGTAGGAATGAACATTGTAAAATTGTACTTAATTCACATGTCAGTGTTTACAAAAAAAAATGTTTGTATATATTAGAATCCATGGAAATGCTAAATATAGCACTATTGTAATAAGAAGTACATGTAACACAAATTTATATATATACACACAATGATTTCATAAATACTGAACTGTGAATTAAACACACTTTTCAATGTGGAGCAGATGTTAAATAGTACTCTTTTCATCGTTTGTGTACATTTGACCTAGTTCTACTTCAAATATCATCAAATAGATACTAGTTTACATGTTTATGCATATATGTTTATAAACAAAAATCCTTAATTTTCAATATTTCATTATGTTAATTCCTAATACTAAAGATAGAGTTGCTTCCTTTCACTTTAATAATATTACAAGTAACAAAAATAGTTTTGAGTACACTTAAACGGTAAGTTTAAACTGGTTGTAAATTGATTGGCCCCCAATTCTAATATGACGTTCTTCTTTCGCTTTGGAAACAAAACCATGTTCTAATTCCAATGAAACATAGGCTGCACGTGATTGACGTCACAATTGAAATTGCAACGCCAGCTGTGTTTTGAACAATGCAGGAAACCAAAATGGACATTTGTTTTGGTTTTGCTCGCTAGAAAATTAAATAAAACAAGCATTCTGAGAGTTTTGCATGGCAATACAAAGTCCCCTACCTGTTAAAAATTAATTGTGCTGGAACAAAATGCTAACTTGATCTATAACTTGTCATGGACTTGTAAAGTATATAACAAATATCAAGTCAATATCTTCAAGCATGACGAAAAAAAGTGCGGAAAACTGAATATTTGAGTGAATTTTCTAAGTCCAAGGACCATAACTCTGAACAAAATCATCAGACCTGAACAAAATTTGAACTTGATCTGTAACTTGTCATGATAAAACAATATACCAAATATCAAATCAATATCTTCAAGCACGAAGAAAAAGTGTGGAAAACTGATTTGCCAGACAGACAGATGGACAGACAGACAGACGGTATAAAGATATTGACAAATATAATGCCTACCTATGTTAAGATGAGCATAGACAAATGATAGAGCATGGCATGAAAGAATTATTTCTTAATTATTTTTTTTTATAACACTTAATCTGTATTCATGGTATTCAACCTATGCCAATATTTTTGCCAACAATTTTATACCTAAATTTGAAGATGCTGGCATAGGTTGAATGAACCGATAGCTCAATATTATAAATTAATTGTATAAATTGCAAAATAATCAATGAAGTTACAATGTATAAGCAGTTTATTTTCCTTATTTATATGACTATATGAAAAAATTCAATACATAATATGCTTAGAAAGCACATATATTAAATATTTATGAAAACAAAATTGATACAGTTCCTTTATTATTTAAGTGGGCTCATTTATCATGTTTATGGCGATCATCAAAGTTAAAATTAGATTCAAATTCCCAAATTAATGTTCTGTGTTGTTGAATGTCCATGTACTACATATGGATAGTTCACCTTCCCATAGATAGAAACAAGTGCCTGTGGGTGTCACAGCAAAAAATCAAAATAGCTTTTCAAGACGTCATAATTATTCAGGGGCTGCTCTGGCTCCTAAAAACTTGAAAAAGTTGGAGCCAGCAAAATCACCAGCTGCTATATTTTGTCACCAGATTGGAAAACTTAGAGCCAACTTTACAGCCAGCTAGAGTCTTGATTTCTCCTACACATATTGAAACCACATTCAATATAAGTTTCTTTTGCACTGTACATCATTTAACTATAAGGGATGATTTGTCATGTAATGTATTGCCCTGTTAGTTTATGTTTTTTCTTTCTTTCTGTGAAAGAACAAAACAAACAGGTTCACTGACACCAGCGTTTAAGCTAGGATTTTGAGGGCTTTAAGGCTTTGGCTCAAAACAGGGACTAATGAGACTTATATATAAATCTATTGATCAATGTTCCTGTCCTTATAATTAGCTTATGGCCTGTATATGTTACAGAATAGAGAAAATGTTTTAAAATCAAAAATAAAGAATAGAGAGAAATGGTAAAAAAATGAATAGAGAATAATGAATGCTTGTACAGAATAGAGAAAATTTGTATAAAAAAAAAATTATAGAACATGATGACCCAAGCCTCAAACAACCTACCAAGACCTATTAACTTTGCACCACAACTCTTTCTAAACCTATAAGTCCTAAAGTCAGAAGTATGTAGACAGATCTGAAGTAGGTATTTCAATACTAGGAAAAAATATAATTGGATTATCTCTCTTGTATTAGGGTGCTCCAACTTCTTCTGAGGATTATTCACAGCAGAAGTAAAAATAATGATGGCCACCCGGCATGTCATGTCATTTGGGTGTGCTCTAAATTCTTCAGAAGATTAAACACAGTAGAAGTAAAACAAATAATGTCGTCAGGCATGCTATTTTATTGTCAAAAGTGAGGACAGACAAAGACAAAATACGTCTGAATTTAACATTTTTAATGGAATTCAAGAAAGACAATGTTTTTTGATAAGTTCATAATAGTTTTTGTCTTCTGTAATTACGTTGTCATCATGAAACTACAGTAAACATGTTGTATAAAATTTTAATTCAAAATGATGAAAAGCCAAATGACCGAGTCTATTTGTATGAATTCATTTTGAAGATCATTAATGCGGTGCACTACGCTTGCCCTCGTTACCATTACTTTGACACGTAAAAATTATTAGGTTTGCACACAGCTTTTTATTACATTCAGACACCTTCATGTTACAAGGAAAACAGGTAAATTTAGATAATAAACAGGTAAAATTATTCTCCTTTTTCTATTTGTAGATCTTTTTATCCCATCTTAGCAATTTTTGTAGTGCATCACTATGATGGTAGGGGATATTTCATGGTGATGCTCCGTAAAAGATTTCAAAGGCAGAATAAAAGTGTTCTATCGATATGTAAAATTTTTTTTCGGATTTGTTTCTGACAATCGAAACTCCATGTTTGTGCGTTCTTTTACTATTCAGTAAAATGAAAAAAGAATGCTATTCAATATTCACATTTAAGTACCATGTATGTCATTAGCGATAACAGGATTTCCCATGATCATTGTTTTAGAACAAAAATGAAAAATTCATAATTTAAAAATATAAATATGTTCAAAGTTAATAACTTTCGAGAAATTTATAATGAATTATCTTTAAATAGATTTACCTGTGTTAGCTCTAAAATGAATGTGCGCAAATGTAATAAAATGCTGTGCGAGTATGAAATAAAAAACAGCGCGTAAACGTAAAAAACGTAATGTGCCCCATCAGAGACATATAATACAAGAGATTCGCAACTCTAGTAGAGTCTATAGTCTTGTATTATTTTTAATTTTAGTTTCTTGTGTACAATTTGGAGTTTAGTATGGCGTTCATTATCACTGAACTAGTATATATATTTGTTTAGGGGCCAGCTGAAGGACGCCTCCGGGTGCGGGAATTTCTCGCTGCATTGAAGACCTGTTGGTGACCTTCTGCTGTTGTCTGTTCTATGGTCGGGTTGTTGTCTCTTTGACACATTCCCCATTTCCATTCTCAATTTTATCTATATAACAGCCAATGAAATGACGTGGCCACCGGAAAGCCGATTAATCCGATGGATTTATGGGTAATAACCCGTATTGTTGTGTAAAAGGTTCTACGCCTCACGATTTTTCTAATGGATAATGCCGATACCTTTCACAGCTAAAGCATGCAAGTATATTTAAAAGTTACAAAAAACTAATTCTTATAATTTGTTATTGATAAAATGTGTTCTAATGATGAGATTAATCAAATACAAACAAAGTTAAAACTCGGCCCATTTTACTTCACCTATTGCCGTAGAAACCATTTGATCTCCCAATTTTTTTCTTAAAACTTGAAAAATATGCTAATAAATATATAATTTTATGGGCCAAAAGTACTCCCAAATGTTATTTCGTGACTGAAAATAAGACTATTTTCGTAAAATTTGAACCAACAATGTGGCGATTTTTTCTGATTGATACCCGAAATTTTTTATTTACTGGCTAAATATTGAAATTGTTCATGAACAAATTTCCTTAAATCAGTCCTTCTTTTTTGTGCACTATGAAATTTATAGCCTGCATTTTGTTAGACATTTTATTCATTTTTCATTCTGTTTATAGCAAAGTTGTTTATTTTCTCCTATTCTGAAGTCATTGTTTTTTTCTTCTTTTTAGGGTGCCAAAGATGAACGAATGCAGTAAATTTACAAAAGGAGTAAAATTTTCCTAGTAAAGGAAACCTTCTGCTGGTCGTAATATTATGAATGAGCTTCATATGCATCTGTTGTCGTTTCAGACTACGCTTCTCGTTCAAAACATGAACCTAATTCATTTTTAAATTAAAATCGTATTGAGGACATTTCAATGGTGACTGCAAAAGATATATATATATATGTTTGTGGTATATCATCTTTTCCACAAGATTATTGTTTTCTGTTTGGTATTTAATTAATATTAAGATCCATTTTGTTAGATCTGGTGATCAATTTATTTGGCAATCGCCAATGGCAGTCAGCAGGGTTTAAGAACATCAGTTGTTCGACCTGTTAGTCATGTTAGTCAAATGCGTTTTGTTAAAATAGACTTTTTCACTTTTTTTGGTCTTTTGGAAATTGTTGTTTGTGCTGTATTTAGACCCCTCTACCAAGAAATTTGTTTTACATGCACACGTATAAAAATTGTGTTTTTTATCCAACGCAATCATAGGTTTGAACGTTGTTTTCAATTTAGACTTTTATATATATATATATATATATTTGATAATAAAAGATTTTATTTACACCAAGGATTTGTATATGTATACACATAAACAATCTTACTTTTAAATTGCCATCTCTTTACCCCAGAATAAAAAGACAAAAACCGCTACAAATGATTAAAAGACAAAAACCACTACAAATGATTGTCTCGTGGAAACAAGGTTATAAAATACTTTTTAAATAGTGTCTTCCGTGTTGCTTTGATGTATGACCTGTGTTTTTTTATAGATTTTTTGTTGCTTCGAGGACACACATATCCATCTATGTATGCAGTATTGTCAATTGTTTTTGTTGGTGGGTCTCTCGCTTATGTTTTCGTCCTTTTCACTATCAACAAAGAGTTCGTTATCAGTTTATTCAACTAGGAGTATATCTAAGTCGTAACTATTAAGATTGTCATCCCACGAAATAAAATCGGAATTTTCCATATTGCTTGCACATGAATGAAGCTTTATTCAAATGAGAAATTAATTGTAATTTTCTTAAATATTAATTCTCAATACACACTTCGAACATGAAGAAACCATAAATTTACCGACAATCATTTAAAAAAACAACTCAATGCAATCCTATATGATAAAACTGTCAAACAACACTTAGAAATCAAACATTTACCGACAATCCTACAGAAAAAAAACTCAATGAAAGCCCAATAAATGAGGAATATAAAAATAAATAAAATTTTAATAATTTATAAATATCAAGAATAAAAAACAAAGCCTATCATGATTAACAATTAATTAACAAATAAATTAAGTTTTTTTCCATATTAATAAATTATACATTTTATGAATTGTATTTTTGGAAAGAGTGTGGACACCTGTGGTGTGACAACTTCTTGTTTACAAGGTGTCAATTAAAACTCATTATTTATAACATGTTCGTGATTTACCTGGTCATCGAATAATTCAAACCTAATATACATGTCACACTGTGAAATTATGTCTCCGAGACAGGTGTATATTCAATAGAAACCCATTATGTAACTATCAAATAAAATGAACTCTGACACAATTTATCAAGTGTTAATTATTTAATATCAGTTTTTTTTTATACAATATCAAATTATGTCTCTTTTTCAATAATACAAATCTAAAAATCAAAATTACATTAAAATAAATAATTATATATGTACTCAAATTATATTTAATTAATTATGATAAATTTAACACTGAAACAGTTTATGTTATGCTTAAACATTCGTCCTTACTTCGAGTACTTTTAATACTTTTATCACAGGAATCGGAAATTCTATCAATAAAATTCTGTAAATAATAAAGTCGACTATCAATAGAGCTTCTCGTAGAGCTACGAGAAGCTCTATTGATAGTCGACTTTATTATTTACAGAATTTTATTGATAGAATTTCCGATTCCTGTGGTTACAGTTAAGAAGTGAAAATGTTGGTGCCAGAAATATCAGCCATATTTTGTTGCCAGATGAAATAAAAAATCGTAATTTGCGACATTGGCCAAGCCCAGCACAGTCTCTGATTATTTGGAATATGTTTTACATGTTGAAATAGTGCTGTTCTTACAAATGTAGTGACTATTCTTGTACATGACTAACAGCAACATTCTAATTACTGAAGAAAACTACAGTTTTTAAGATTGTACCTAATTATTTTACCTCATCAAAATTATCTATAATTCCCCTGCATACTGAACATTTGTCTAGAGCCACATATTTGATTAAACTTATTATAAATAAGCTGAAGACTGTCAAGCGATTAACTGTCATTTCTGAGGTAGTGCAATCACAATGACACAAAGCAGCAGCTGATGGTTCTCTCTATGAAATATTTTTTTGAGGAAGACTCAACTTAAGTATTGTATTTTTTTGATTCTCGGTGCTCTTGGCAGGAGATATCGTATATTTAACAACATTTAAACACCATGATAACAGTCTTCATTTTCACGTGTACCGGCCAAATCTTTGTTGACAACTCAGTAATTAATATCCAATCAAAGAAAGCCACGATCGTCAAACCGGGTCAATATCCGGTTTGTCTGCTAAAAGTACAACATTCCCGTAATCGGCACGGGACCTCCAACAAATATAAAAAGAAAGGAAAAAGGTAAAAAAAATTGCCGTTTTATTGCTTATTACGTTGAAAATTGTTATGCGGTGAAAAAAGTGGACTAGAGGAAAGCCCAATTTGCTATTCAAGGGTTACAATTTTCTTTTGGTGGTTAGTGATTTTTAACCCCTGGAAAGAGCTTTAAAATTTCTAAATCACTTGCGTTTTTTCAAGTTCTAATTTCGGTAATCTTTTTAAATCAATTTTTCGGCAGACATGTCATTTATTTTACTCTCTGTTTGTTTGTTTGTGTTTTAGAAAAGTATGATCAAAATATCTTTCATTAATCGTAATGGTAAACAAACTCACAAACGTTTAAGATCCCAACGAATCTTCAATATACCGGAACTAATAATGATATATAGTCTATATATCATTGTGACAGCATGGCTTAGTGGTAATTTTAACTACATTTTTTCTGTTTTACGTTCGTTTGAACTCGAAATAAAGTTACCAAATTGAAACTAGTTAACCAAAGAAGATGGGCAAGACTAAAGGAAGTTTTCATATTTTATTGATGCTTCAAGAGTACATGTTAATAATTAGATAAGGGAGCAACCATTTGAGTTATACTCTGTACTTAACATTTATATTATAATGGCTACTGCATATAGAGAAATATGGGAGAAATCTCCACTTGGCTCAACTGGCTTTCATATTGTCTATATACTAGTATTATATTATTTCTGACAGTCTATATATCATAGTACACATACGTGTAGTCAGCCATAGGTCAGTTCACTGACCGGCATAAATTATAGCATATATTTAATATAACATGAGCGCTCCTCTTGAATTGTTTTTAGAAGTATTTCTCTAATCTACAGAGCTATTAGCAGCAATTATGTATACGTTATATATTACAAACTTCAATAATAATTAAAGATATTTACAACTATTTACACTGAACATCAGTGACAAAAGGTAGATTTTTCAAAGTCCGACCCCCCTTTTCTTATGTAAATAAAAATATCATTCTACTAAAGAGCTTAAATATAGCACAAGTGACTTATTCTCCCAGTTAAATTCACTTTTGTAAAATTAGCAATAGGATAATTCCATATCCCCAAGTTACATACTAAAAATTTCGGATATTAAGGTTTATTCATGATGTTTGAGTCTTTAAAGTACACCCTTAAACCTTCATATCATTTGCAAGATCTCTGCAACTATATTAACATACATGGCCCAATATTCTGTAACTTCTAGAGAAAAGCCCCAAGCTCAAAACAAAATAAACATTAATTTCTCTATTTTTCTCCTTTTTCTCATGTTCATAAATTTACTCAGCTATTGACCATAGTCAAACATACCCTTTTCTGTTGATACTGCACAAAACAGCATAGGTATAACTGAGGGGAAGCAGATTCTTTTTACTATTAGCGTTTACCAAATTCGAACTTTGCCGCTTCTGAGCTTTTATATGCCAGCGTCAGCAGTGTAGGTAAATTTAGGCCTTATCATTGGTTCCAACAATATTCTCCTTACTCTAATAATCACGTGACCATTACTTTTTATGATATTGTATCTTTCTACACTTGTATTTATGTAACATTGAATCAAAACTAATAATAAATTTTATTAATAAAGGTATATAGTTTGTCAGATTCATGGTTTGAAGCGTATATAGCTCAAAACCGAATTTTCTTATCGATAAGCCTGAAGCTATCGAGTTGCCTAGTAACAACATTAAGAAGAAGTAGTATTATAAGCGAGTACTTGACTTCCTTTACAAACATGTGAAACCAAAAATGACCACGAGGACCTCAATACCTGCTGTTCTAAACCAAAAACGATATTACAAACAACAACGACCATTTCCTGAAGATTGATACGATATAAAGTAAGCATATAAATACTCCAAACAACATGCCATTATCTTTTCTATTATAAATTCACCCATTAATCCGTTTCGATCAGACGACAGTTTCAACGACCATCGAACATATTTATCACATAGCGAACATTACAATATATCCTACTTGAGAAGGGTCCAGTAGTATATAAAAGAGGGGCGAAAGATACCAGAGGGACAGTCAAACTCATAGATCGAAAATAAACTGACAACGCCATGGCTAAAAAATAAAAAGACAAACAGACATATAATAGTACATAAGAAACAACATTGAAAACTAAAGACTAAGCAACACGAACCCCACCAAAAACTGGGGGTGATCTCAGGTGCTCCGGAAGGGTAAGCAGATCCTGCTCCACATGTGGCACCCGTCGTGTTGCTCATGTTATTACAAATCCGGTAAATAGTCTAATTCGGTAGGTCACATTCGTGGTGAAAAAGGAAGTGGATTATAATTACAACATAAGCAACATATCCGATATCATCTGTGAAACGGTTATTCCATAAAGGTCAACCAACTCGTGATGGCGTCCGTAAAATTTACGAAGGGATGATTTCAACTTCACCATTTGGAACTCTTGGTTTAATAGCTTCCTTGTGAGCAGCAACCCTCTATCAAGGAAATCATGATAGGAAATACAAGCCCGGGAATATCGTATCAATTGGGAGATATATACTCCGTATGCAAGCGCTGCTGGAATGTTGCTACATAGAAATGGAAAATTCACAATTGGAAATCATCTCTTTTGTCGTAAATTTTTGTTTTCAACCGACCCTCATTGTCAATTTCTAGATGTAAGTCAAGATATGAGGCAGACTTAACTATATCTGTTGTATCCTTTATCTCTAGTTCGATGGGATAGATGCGTTCAACATAGTCACCAAATTTTGAATTATTTAGTGAGAGAACATCATCTATATAGCGGAAAGTAAAGTTAAAGGATATTGCTAACTTCTTATCTTTCTTCCTAAGAAGTTCCTGTATGAAGTCAGCCTCATAATAATAAAGAAACAAGTCGGCAAGAAGAGGGCACAATTTGTTCCCATTGGAATTCTGACAGTCTGTTGAAAAACATGTCCTCCAAACGTAACAAATATGTTGTCATTCAAGAAATCAAGCATCTTGATAATGTCAGTTTCAGAGAATTTTTTGTTTGAATCAGAGTGATTCTTTACAAAGTAGGATTTATCCCTCCCCAAGACAAGATACTTGTATCTACGTTCGCCATTCATTTTTATGAAACAAAGCAATACCAACTCTTTCAATTTGTCTTAGTTTGGAATGGGGAATACTTGTGTAAAGTGTAGAAAAGTCAAATGTTTTAATACTATTGCAAGATGAGAGAGTCTTAGATTGTATGTACTCTAAAAGATCTTTGGAATTTTTTAGTATCCACATCTGATTCACGCTACCTCTAGAATAGGCAGTTTCACAATAACTTTGAAGCCCGGCTTTGATTGCTGATAAAATAGATGTTAATAATTTAGAAAGAGGTTTCGTGGAGCACTTGGAATTCCCAGCAATATACCGTTTTTTGTAAGGACACTTATGTAGTTTAGGTATCCAATACAGTGATGGAAGATCCAGTTCTTCATCTTTGGTTGAAATTATGTATAAGGGTAAAGAAAAATATCGAAGAAATAAATCGGTTTATAATTGAGTTCTGAAAAAAAGTTGACAAATTTGCGTGTTGTGAAGTAGAGTAAATACATGTGTGAATCTATGATCGTTTATTTCTGTCTTTATAGTAGTCTTCTTGTAAGTTGCTTTTTTAGCTTTATATAAATCCGATAAGTAAACCCCTTTTCAACTGGTTTTAACAGTCATAGTTCTTAAATTATGTTACGGTTGGGTTGTGCGCTCTCTAACACGTTTAACCCCGCCAAGTTCGCTGTGTGCCTGTACCAAAACCATGAGCCTGTATTTCATTGGTTGTCGTTTGTTGAGCACTGTATATTATATTTGCTTTTCATTTATTGTTTTGTAAATAAATCAATGACATGTCGTTGGTTTTGTCGTTTGAAATTTTAACATTTGTCATCATGGTCGGATCCTTTTATAGCTTGAAATCGGTATGAGTTTATCTCATTGTTAAATGCCGGTTGGCGTAAATTTGCTAACATCTAGTACATCATTTTGTCTCTAGTAGATAGTTTCCTCATTGGTAATCATACCACATATTCTTATTTATTCTCATGTTATAAATATCAAACTGACTGATTTTATGGACCGTGGTAAATCATAGTTACTAAAACTATTGCGTTGAACATTTGCACAACAGCACTATTAACATATGCACGCATCGAACAAAGTTCAACTATATACCATTTGTTGTCCGAACATTACAATACAAACATGTACATGAAGCTGTTTTTTCTCAAATATGAGCAAACAGAGATCGTTCCTGTTCATTGTATCAAGGTCTCCTAAATTTGTGTATTTGATTTTGCTACTTAAGGGATTTTGTGTTCATTGCATATTTTCAAAAGTGTTTGTAAAATTATCCACACTTATCTATTTTTATTTTAATTTAGAGCTTGAAATATTGTAAAGACATGTATCCATTGAAGAAACCCGAGTGTTGGCTTTGGTTAGCTTTCAAATTTGCATTTATTTGGTTGCTGTCTTATTTATGATACCCTACATCTCCTTTTATTCAAACAAATATCAAATTTGAGCAACGCTTTCAATATTTTTATATAATGCATGTATACCTGCTTTCAAAACACCTTACGGGACTGTAAAAACCAAGCCAAATGGTATGTATATAGACGCGTTTGTGTGTAAAATATCCTTCCCTAAAAGTTACCTACATTAATCGTACTTTTTCGTCTTTGGAAGTTGACCGTTTTGTCATCATAACTTCATTGAACTCGACGATAACCTTTCTTGCCTTTTACCAAGCCTTACGTGTGTGAAGAATAAGAGTTGTCGTGCTTACACCAGAAAGATATGCATTTAAAGCAATGCCTGACTAGCATAGTCATTATAATGATATGCACCAAAATATCATG